ATTTGGGCTGTGTGTTTTCTGCCCCTCCAGGGGATTGGTGTGTACCTACCAGCCCTGCCCAAGTGGAAGAACGGTGCCAAATCAGTCTCTCTAGGGTGTGTGTCTGTGTGTCTTTGTGGGTATGCCTGTAATTGCAGCTTGCGTACTCCCTGCCCTTTGCAGGGGGCAATGGCTGCAGGCCGGCACAGCTCAGCTCCAACTCAGAGCCTCTGGCTGGATCCTTGCCAGTTCAGCTGGGGAGAAGAATGGAGGGGGGGGATCTGATTACTCCCTCCTACATCAGGGGGTCTCCAAATTTGGCAACTTTTGTGGACTTCAACTCCCAGAATTCCCCAGTCAGCCAGGCCTGTTTTGTTTTTGTTTTATTCTATCGTCCGGAGCGGAGAGATTGCAGAGAAAGGGATTGTAAGAGAATAAGCAGGCCACCATGGGGATATACACATCAAAATGAATATAATAGCTGGTTGGGGAATTCTGGGAGTTGAAGTCCACAAGTCTTAAAGTTGCCAACTTTGGAAAAAAACCCAACCTGACGGGGCAAAAGAACATATACCATTTGAACACCTGGACTGGTTGTGCGATACAGGTAGTCCTCGACTTATAACGGTCCATTTAGCGACCGTTGAAAGTTACAGCAGCACCGAAAAAACGACCATTTTTGCATAATTACGGCCTGCGGCATTCCCCCGTGATCACGGGATCCAAATTCAGACACTCAGCCCCTGGTTCGTGTTTATGACGGTTCCAGCATCCCTTTTTGCAACCTTCTGACAAGCAGAGTCTCACTTAACGACAGAAATGTTGGGCTTAATTGTGGTCATTAAATCAAGGACTACCTGCATTGCTACCTGGTGTAGGTCAATACATATGTTGTATATAGTATGTTTTAAATGTTTTGAGAGGAAGCAGCTAAATTTCATTTTTATATATATAAATATTTTATTAGATTTTATATAAATCAGGAAAGAATAGGGAGAGTGCAAGTATGGGGAGGGGAAGGGCATGGGGAATTTGGGATGGAAAGAGGGTAGGTACAGTAGTGGGGTAACCCCCAACAATAATCTCATACTCTAACAAACAAGCTACCGTCCGGATCAAAGGTATTAATACCACTTTACAAGGCCTTGGTAAGGCCACACTTGGAATACTGCATCCAGTTTTGATCACCACGATGTAAAAAAGATGTTGAGACTCTAGAAAGAGTGCAGAGAAGAGCAACAAAGAGGATCAGGGGACTGGAGGCTAAAAATATAAGGTTGCTGGAATTGGGTATGTCCAGTTTAACGAAGAGAAGGACGAGGGGGGACAGGATAGCAGCCTTCCAGTATCTCAGGGGCTGCCCCAAAGAAGAGGGAGTCAAGCTCTTCTCCAAGGCGCCTGAAGGCAGGACAAGAAGCAACGGGTGGAAACTCATCAAGGAGAGAAGCAACCTGGAACTAAGGAGAAACTTCCTGACAGTGAGAACAATTAACCAGTGGAACAACCTGCCTCCAGAAGCGGTGAATGCTCCAACACTGGAAGTTTTTAAGAAGAGACTGGATAGCCATTTGTCTGAAATGGTTCAGGGTTTCCTGCCTGAGCAGGGGGTTGGACTAGATGACCTCCAAGGTCCCTCCCAACTTTACTATTATTATTATTATTATTATTATTATTATTATTATTATTATTATTATTATTATTATTATTATTATTATTATTATTATTATTATTATTATATCTTACTCAGCCATTTTAAAATAAGATTAACTCTAACCATATTACTAAAGATTGATAAACAGATAAAATTCCTCCATGGAGATAAGCGTAATTAATAAAATCTCAACTCATCATAACTCTCAACATTAGCAATTAAAAATCCCTAAAAACAAAGATGGTATTAACCTAAGAACAGAAACTTACTTAAAAATCTATCATCTATTCTAAAATTCGAAGTTCTTTTCACATGCTAACCTGTCTCGAACCATTGAGAAAACATTTTCCCCAAGTTTTCAAGTAAACTGAATCGTCTTTCTCTTTCATTTCCAATTTCATTTTTCATGTGTGCCATTGGGCCCGCAGGAAAAAAAAATAACAATAAAGGTTATCTAATCTGGGGACCGTGCCCCCTTGTTCAGGGTCAGCCCCCAGACCCTTCCTCTGGTGTTTCCCCCTCTCCCCCCCTCCCAGCCCAGCTGACCCTCTCCATTCACCCCCATGTCCATTTCCTGGTGCTTCCTTGTAAAATCTTGCAGGTTATTAATTTATTTAGCGTATGATGAGAACAGGACAGAAGGGAAGTAAACCTATACACACATCGGAGAGAGAGAGAAACTGATGAGCTTGCAAAAGAGAAAGGACCTGTCTAGAAAAAGGACCCCCCCCCCTTAGCAAGAGGGCTGGGTGTGAAGACCCCCCACCACCACCAACGGCTGAAACTGAGAACCGGCGAAGGACACGTGAAGTGGGATTAAGCAACTCAAGAATTCCTGGGTTCCTGCCTGGATCCCAGAGGGCTCCTCGAGGTCTCCAGGTTTAGGAAGTGGGGTCGGATCAGGTCAAAAGCTGCACGGCCAAAGAAGTCTTGCGCAACGGTCAACAGCCGTGCGAAATAAGCCCTGTCCTGGCTCGCTTGCAATGTGAGGAAAGAAGAGACCAGGAATGGTGGTTACAGAAGAAGGCATGGGTGGAAGTTTTTAGCTGGCCTCAAGTGTGCAAAAATGCCAGGTCCCTTCCAACCCTGAGATGCCACCCGGGGTTTAGAGGCCATGTGCTTTCTCTCTCTCTCTCTCTCTCTTGCTCTTTCTTTCTCACACACACTCTCTCTCTTTTGCTCTGTTTCTCTTTCCCCCTCTTTCTCTTTCTCTCTTTCTCTCTCTTTTGCTCTTTCTTTCTCTCTCACACACACTCTCTCTTTTGCTCTGTTTCTCTTTCCCCTCTTTCTTTCTCTTTCTCTCTCTTTTGCTCTTTCTTTCTCTCTCACACATATTCTCTCTCTTTTGCTCTGTTTCTCTTTCCCCCTTTCCCCCTTTCTCTTTCTCTCTTTCTCTCTCTTTTGCTCTTTCTTTCTCTCTCACACACACTCTCTCTTTTGCTGTTTCTTTTTCCCCTCTTTCTCTCTCTCTCTCTTGCTCTTTTGTTCTCTCTTTTGCTCTCTTTCTCTCTTTCTTGCTCTCTCTCTTTCTCTCTTTTTCTTTCTCTCTTTTGCTCTTTCTCTTTCCCCCTCCTTCCCCCTCTCTTTCTCTTTCTCTTTCTCTCTCTCTTTTGCTCTTTCTTTCCCCCTCTCTCCTCCTCCTCCCTCTCTCTCTCTCATTTGCTCTTTCTCTCTCACACACACACTCTCTCTTTTGCTCTGTTTCTCTTTCCCCTCTTTCTTTCTCTCTTTCTCTCTCTTTTGCTCTTTCTTTCTCTCACACACATATTCTCTCTCTTTTGCTGTTTCTTTTTCCCCTCTTTCTCTCTCTCTCTCTTGCTCTTTTGTTCTCTCTTTTGCTCTCTTTCTCTCTTTCTTGCTCTCTCTCTTGCTCTCTTTTTCTTTCTCTCTTTTGCTCTTTCTCTCTCTCACACACACTCTCTCTCTCTCTCTCTCTCTCTCTCTCTCTCTCTCTCTCTCTCTCTCTCTCTCTCT